TGTGTGATTGATGATTTGTTGATTTCTGAGGAGTACAGTTTTTCCCTGTGCCATAAAATCACTGTATTCAGAAAACTATTCTTTGAATGATTTGAGACTTTATATTTCCTTTTGTGTGCTACAGGAAATAAGAATAAAAAATAAAATTTCACAATTTCCAAATTCTAAATGTAGTCATTTAAAAATATTACCAGAGAATATTTATTCTGTTGAAAGTATTACTAAATGGGCGCCTGGGTGGTGGTGTCAGTTGACCATCTGACTCTTGGTTTCGGCTCAGGTCATGATCTCAGGGTCGTGGGAATTAGCCCTGTGTCTGCTTGAGATTCTCTCTCTCCCTCTCTCTTTGCCCCTCCCCCCAGTCCCCTGCTCTCTCCCTCTGTGAAATAAAGAAATCTTTTAAAAAAAAGAAAGTATTGCTAAGCACAAATATTACATATTAAGGTGCTATCCTCATTAAATAGATTAAAATTACTCCTTTCCTGTTCTCCCACTGCATTTTGTATATGTCTTATTTTGTTTATATGTATTTAAATATTTTATTGTATATTTACTTAAATACATTTATTTATTTTGTATGTATACAGTGTCTGTTTTTATTAGCTAGTGAACTCCGGATGAGTAAGGCCAGTATTATGTTCATTGTCTTTATCTTCTACAGCGCGTTCTAGAAATGAGTCCTCAAAATGTGTATTACAATGACTGGAAATCACTCACATCATTTAACCGACTCAATGCCTGTTATGTGCCAAAGAATAAGCAATGACCAGTACAAAAATCTCTGCCCTGAGAGCTTACATTTTGGTAAATAAAATAAATACATTAAAGGTAAGGTCTGTTAGCTGGTGATAAGTGCAATGGAGAAAAGTAAAGACAGCGTGTTGGTGTGAGATGGTGGCATTTCAGCTTTGTAGGGGGAGCTCAGGAAAGGCCTGAAGGGAAAGGAATTTGAGTTAAGCTAAAGACTTGAGTCAGACTTGAAGAAGTGGGTGGACAAGGCTTGCCTGTACCTGAGGGCATAGCATCGCAGGGAGGGGGTAGCAAGCATAAGCACTCTGAGGCCAGCATGGGGCCAGTGCGGGGGGGGGGGGGGG